TCCCCCTTCGTGGTTGACATGTTGGGTAAGGCAGCAGTCAGTGCGCCACACAGGTCATAGCTGCTAATCTCAACTAGTTTAACACGGTCAGGCTGAAACAAGGACATCTTAAATAAATAGCTAAGTAATTTTGAGCGTGCATCAGGGCTATTGGTATGACGATTTTTCACCAACAGGAAAATAAATGTTAACTAGTTCTGCGTTGTTTCTACCGATAGTGAACCCCTATCAAGAATGGTAGGGTTCACTCCATTCGTTTATCCTGGAAAGAAAGGACTTGTATTCATAACTGTTGCAAGGAAACTGCTAAATCAAGCACTTACTAATGAGTTCCGATGTCTCAGGCAAATTGGTGGCCCACTTCACCTCGGCCAGCTGCACAGAGCTGACAGATTGTCGGTCCAACTTTCCACCGCCTTAATCTTACCATTTACTCTCAGTATATTATTATTGTTTGGCATGCAAGCCGTTAAAAAGTTTTGTACTGCGATAAAAAAATATTACGCGAAACTTGCGCTAGTCCTTATGCGACGAATGTCTGAAGTCACATCGGACTTCATATATTTTGCAGGACAGTTTGATAGATCGATGGTTATAATTGGGTACTCGAAAGGACACTTTCAGAAAGAATTATTAGTGGACCCATTACCGAGTCGCTCTCATCTGCAAATACTTTAAATAAGCCACAGGATCTCGTTTTCTAATTAAATTACGGGTCAAAATGTTAACAACTAACTAAAAGTAAGTATGCGGTATGGAGTTCTAAGGAAGCTTATACGGTCCGGCATGTGTCGTTCACTGGTTACCGTCAGGTATCACAGATTATTCAAGTTGCTGCATTTCCGCTTGCTCTGTTTCATTTACAGAATTACATATACTCGTACCTTGTGGATTTAACCATACCTACCATGCCTAGCATAGCATAGCACCTTATTATTTGGCAAAGTCGTAACAAAAACACGGCGCTCGTAATCTGAATACCTCGTTGAACCTTTAAAGCTTCGGTTAAGAACTAAATTAGATGGAAAGGAAGGACAGGACCACCAATGCCGTGAGTCTGGAGATACCTGCGCAGAGCAACATATGAGGGCGCCAGCTC